TGACGTCCATTTTATCACCTTCTACCACCACCAACTCTATTATCATCATTGTTATCATCATCATCATCTCGTAACACCACTTGTTGGGTCACCAGTTTCTGTTGACTGATCAGCTCTCTCCACCTTTAGCGGTCAGTTGCGATGGACCTCATGGTTGCATGCCTGATGCCTGTCCAGTCAGTGAGGTTATGTAACCAGGTCTTTCTTGGTTTGCATCCATGCACAATCACTTCTATCAATCTCTGTAATTCTTTCGGACCGGTCGCTATAAAGACGATGTCATCAGCATAACATATGTCATAACATATGTTGTTCGTTCTATGACAACTGCCGTGTGCGATTGGCAGGCTAACTACTCAAGTTCTTTCGGTCCGTCTGGTCTGCCAGCCTGTCAAGTATCTAGGTTAACTGTTTAGAAATGTCAGCCCTGCACACACACACATACACACACACACACACACACACATACACACACTCATGATTCACTCAGATTACGAACCATGGCCTCCAACTCTTATTGGCACGGCACATGCTGATGTTGGCTATTAGTGGGGGCTATTTAAAAAAATTCACCAGAGCATCAGGAGTAAGCACCATACCAGGTGTAGATATGTTTTCCAAGTTTACACACACACTCTCTCTCTCTCTCTCTCTCTCTCTCTCTCTCTCTCTCTCTCTCTCTCTCTCTCTCTCTCTCTCTCTCTCTCTCTCTCTCTCTCTCTCTCTCTCTCTCACACACACAAACACAAGATGCTGAAAAATATGTAACAATAGATCTGAATAAAGTATGGATCCTATTTACGATTTCCGGCCCAACTACACACTGGCTGACCTTTCATTTATGCTTACCTAGACTGGTCTACGTTAGAGGGGTTTCCCGTTGTACTATGTCTTCTATCAGCTTTCTGCTTTTTGTGTTTCACCAAACACGGAACATCTAAAAGTGGCCCTAATTCAAACTCCCGCCCCACCACAGCCTCGGCCAAAGTCCTACAAGAGAGTCTATAGTACGTCGCATGGTTTCAGAATTGGTAACTTTTCCGCTCTGCCCTAAAAAAAACCGTTTTGCTCCAGAAAAGAAACTCTCTCCTCCTCGTCGCTCATCACCGGAGACATTGACACTCCTCTGACGTAGACCAGCCTGAGCGAGCATAAATTAAAAGTCAACCAATGTGTAGTTGGGCCGGGAAACGTAAATATGACCAATGTAGAAAATTTAAAAGCATACATTTTAAAACCACTTTAAAGGATTTGGGCTGGGAAGGAAAAGGTGGGGGGGGGGGGCTCTTAGCCCACAAGGTTCGTGCGCCTGTTGACGACGGGAAAAATCGGATGAGGCAAACCAGGCTAACGATGTGCAGAGAGAAAAACATAGTACTGAGATCTCCCTACTCCCCCTTTCCCAATACCAAACACACGAACAGACACGTTCCCAATGTAACCTCCCAAACAAATACCTTTCTTAAATATTTGTGTATTCTAGACAAAGCATTAGGGTCTACTGTGTTCGTAAATTGTTGCTGTGATTGTTATTCATCATATTCTTCGTTAATATGAATTTCTGTAACCTATGGTGCCATTTCAATGGTTTGAAATGAATTCTGTCCGTATTCCATAGTTGTGGATTTCAAGCTGTACGATAGACATGTCCAATAAGACACGTTTGGGCGGGGGGGGGGGGGGGGGTGCCCAATTGACCATGTTCTTAGTGCAATTGTAACCACGGCGAGGCGCACACGCCCTTTGGAGGTGACAGGTTCAATTCCCGGCACGGTTCCTATAGCTTTCGATTTTTATGTTGTCTAGTGTGTTCTTGTATCCTTCTACTTCTTTCTATGAGTGCCAATCAATACATTTTCTGTTACTTAATTAACCCACAATGTATACATCACATAGACGCCACAAAACATGAGAAGCAAGTTGAGATTATAATGATGATGATGATAATAACGGGATGAAACAAAAAAGAAAATATGTTACTTGTAATCAAACTTGTTCATTGCCACGGCGAAGTGTCGCGGGTTATCCTCACACCTGTAAAGGTTCTGGTCGTGGATCGGTATCATATCGGCGTCGTGGAAGATGTAACAGTCAAAACTGGCCAACTTTTCCGCTTCCAGAAAGCCTATATTTAGTAAGGCGCCCCTGTTAAACACTTCCGGTGGGGCCTATTGGAGTCATGGTAGTGTGTTAGACAGCACAAAATTGTTTTAGTAAAAGGGTTCTTTTTTCGTTTTCCGGCCCAAATACACACTGGTTGACCTTTCATTCATGCTTGTTCACCTGTCACATGGGCTAGTCTATGTTACAGGGGTGTCGCGTTGGATTGTCATCGCAAAGCTTTCTGTGTTGTGTGTTACTCGTTGTTGTGAGCAGCGGCCTGTGAGAAACCACGGATCGTACGCTGCACTTTCTCGTGGAATGGTGAGCTGAGTCCT